AAACTTTTGAAAAAAATTTAGTCTGACCGAGAAAATTTAAAAAAAATTATGTAACGGAATCCGTATGGGAAAAAAATTCTATTGTGCTTTGCCTTATGAAAAAAAATGAGTTTTATAAAATGATCTCATAAAAAAAAGTTGAAGGTTCAGTAGTTGTAGAAAAAAATGTTGTAGCTTTGGTTGTTGTAGAAAAAAATGTTTTTGTGGTCAGTTCTTCAGAAAAAAAATGTGTTGATAGATCTGCATGACAAAAAAAAGATGAGAAATCTCTTTGAGTGCAAAAAAAGGTAGTTTTTTGAGATGTAGTTTAAAAAAATGCTGTAGGTTTTGAAGTTGTTTAAAAAAAGGTTTTAGCTCTGAAAAAATTAAAAAAAAATGCATACAGCTTTTGGATGCTCAAAAAAAAGAAAAGCTGCATTATGGACGATTAAAAAAACCTCTTTTTGTTTTGCTTTGCTTAAAAAAACTTTCTTTCATAGAAACACTGTAAAAAAAATTTCTCATGAGAGTACAGCTGTAAAAAAAACAGACATTTTTTTCATTTCCCAAAAAAAAATGCTTTATTGAGCTCAACTGTACAAAAAAATGATATTCTTTGAATAGAAAAGTAAAAAAAATTATAGTCTTTTGTTTTGGTATAAAAAAACATCTGAGGTATGAAAATGACCTAAAAAAAAAGAATTCTCCATTCATTGGAAAACTCAAAAACACAGTTTTTAAGTCCTAAAAAAAAAAATAATCTTTTTAAATATCTTAAAAAAAAAAACCAAGTACTGGAAAAAGTTTTCTAAAAAAAATCAGTTTTACAAGTCAGTTGCCTTTCAATCCAATCATCTATATTGAGGAAGGAAAAAAAGTGCTAAAGATAATCATTATCATAAAAAAAATCATCATCAGCCTCCTTTGTAAAAAAAAATCTGATTCCAAAATAATGTACATAAAAAAAATCAATATCGTAACCACAAACTCAAAAAAATTTTGGTGCATTAGTCTTTGTTAGTGTTGTACGGAGACCGAAAGCCCAAGTTGAAAAAAAKAAAGTTGTAGGTACTGAAGTTTTCTTCGTAGGCTTTGTGGTCTTGGGAAGYGAAAAAAAACGTTTAGTAGTTCTTACCAAACCGTGAATAAAATTAGAGCCGACTTCGACGAAAAAAAAACAGATCTTACAGTCGTAGTTATAAAAAAACATGTTGTACTTCAAGTCAAGTAAAAAAAAAAGGTTTGAGCTTTCTTTAAAAAAAAAAAAAGGTCTTTTAGCTGGCTTGATTTTTGTGTTCAGAAAAATTGACCCTCCAAGAAAAAAAAAGTAGATTAGAAGAAGGCCATATCAAAAAAAGAAGATGGGTTTGCAGTAGTAATAAAAAAAAGACTGTAGGCTACACAGGAATGAAAAAAATTGCCTCCCAGTGGTCCTTGTTGAAAAAAACAAAGAGGGCAGTAGAGGTAAGTAAAAAAAACCGTCGCCCCCCTCGTAATCTGAAAAAAATAATAAGTCAGTGGAGTCTTCGCTATGGATGTTGCTGTCCTCGGACACAATCTAAAAAAAGTTGTGGTCCTCTTGGTAAACTGAAAAAAACTCTTGGCTACTGACTGGCTGTAATTCTAAACTATTTCCAGCCAAAAATAGCTAAAAAAAATCTGAAACAAAAAGATAATTGTAAAAAAACTAACTGATRTTTTTACTTTTGAAAAAAAAATACTTCTTCTGCCCRTCAACGTAAAAAAATCTCTTGATTTCAACTTTTATCTAAAAAAAATGAATCTATTAAATATTGTTTTAAAAAAAATATAGAGGATATTACATGGCCGAAAAAAAATAAGRATTTTATCTTCAAGTGTAAAAAAAATCTCTTATGGGTGACTGTAGCGAAAAAAAGAGAGATTTTCAACACAACAAGAAAAAAAAATTTGTATCTCCAAGCGACCATGAAAAAAACAGACTATTTATCATATAATTATAAAAAAAAATAAATTATGTTTTAAAATAACAAAAAAATACAACCAACATATAGGAAATACCATGAATGTGTCATTTTCACTAGTTTTCACAAAAAAAATTTTTATGATATGGAAAAATATAAAAAAATCATAGATAATTACATGTTAAAAAAAAAAAATCTCTTGGCGTGAATTATAAATAAAAAAACTGGAAGAGCACCCTTGTAACTAAAAAAAACACATCCTGGTAAACATCTAGAAAAAAAAATGGCAAAGCGATTCTCCAGTTTAAAAAAAAACTGGTGCCATAGATAGAGTGATAAAAAAATGATAAGCAACACACTGAACCAGAAAAAAATGACGACCAACAACATAAACAAACCAAAGTCATGGATGGCAGGAATCTAATAAAAAAAAAAACATGTTAGAGGATGTGACGTAAAAAAAACAGGGAACTCTTTTTTCCTCCTTAAAAAAACCTTTGTGATTCTTAGTGATGTCAAAAAAAGAGGCTAGATGCGACGTTGCTTTAAAAAAATTTTTTTTAACAACAGTCTTTTTAAAAAAAGTAATATCTTTATCGAAGGCAAAAAAAAAACCCTCCCCTAAAATGTTAAAGAAAAAAAAAAGAGCCTTTTCCAAAATGGCTGCAAAAAAATTCACCCAAACACAAAATAACCCAAAAAAACTGAAATACATGTATATGAATCAAAAAAAATTAAGATGGTTGCCTTAGTAATAAAAAAAACTAAGGCAAAATAACCCCCCCTCAAAAAAAATGTTAGTGAATAACTGAAGAGCAAAAAAAGAAATGGCTGCCAAAATTTTCACAAAAAAACAAAATAACCCCCCCCCCCTGAAAAAAAAATATATGAATCAAAGACTATTATTAAAAAAACTCTTATTTCATAATTTACTATCAAAAAAATATCATCACTGTCATCATCTACAAAAAAAACGCTGACCATCATCATCATCATCAAAAAAACCATAATCAGCAGTATCATTGTAAAAAAAAAAATCAATGATAATCATAACCATAAAAAAAATCATCATCATCATCATCATCATAAAAAAAATCATCATTGCTATCATCATCATAAAAAAAATTACCTTAGACAGGCAATTGGCAAAAAAAGCAGCAGCAGTAGTAAACGAGGTAAAAAAAGTAGCCCCACCAGCGGTACTGATAAAAAAAATTAGCCTGGACTTAATATCCTTAAAAAAATTCGCGTGGACAAATGTATTGACAAAAAAAAACACGTCGTCGACTCCAATTCCAAAAAAAATAAACAATGAAGCACCGCTAAGAAAAAAAAGGCTGGGAACTTTGAAAATCACAAAAAAAATAAAAAACGCAAACAGGAACGAAAAAAAAATGCTAAGTATCCCAAAGATGGTAAAAAAAAGAGAGAACGAGGTCAGGAGAAAAAAAAAAATAATGATTATTATCAAAGTGTAAAAAAAAAGCTCCACGTCACTCCACAATGTCTTACTGACAAGATGATCGAATATTTCAGGTCCGCCATACAGGACTTTGACTTCACTGAAAAAAAAACAAAATAATTGTTAGTTAATAATAAAAAAATTATCAAATTAATTCATAAGGTAAAAAAAATGGAAAATCATTGCCGTGACCGCAAAAAAACATGAGCAAGAGGAATATTGTCCAAAAAAACATACGACTTTAACTTCGATTTTAAAAAAAAAATGATATTTTATCCTGAATTTAAAAAAAAAATATGCTTTAGCTTATGTTGGAAAAAAATAAGCAATATAAAAGTTTGCAGCAAAAAAATTTAAATGCCCATAAAGGTCTCCAAAAAAAATTTTATATATTAAATACAGACTAAAAAAATTTGCAAAAATTATGAGAATTGTAAAAAAATCTAAATATCATAATATCCATATAAAAAAACTGTATTGTCCGGGACACGCGTGAAAAAAAGAATAATTCATTGTTGACATCGAAAAAAAATTCAGAACTACGGATAAGTACGTAAAAAAAAAAAACTAAACAGCAAAGACAAGAAAAAAAGGGCATCGCGCGGGATTACCCATAAAAAAATCGATATTATGATATTTAGATATAAAAAAAATTCTCATAATTTTTGCAAAAGGAAAAAAACACTTGTACCATGAAATATGATC